GGCCCAGCCCGGCCGCATGCTGCCCACTCTCCTTCGCTTCCTGCGCCATCACCCGACGGCCCTTCGAGGGGCCCCCACGCCAAGTGAGCCGCCCCCGGCTCTCTCTCTCTCTCCCTCTCCTCGACACGCACGCACACACGCGCGCGCCCTTCCAGGGGCGGGCCGTTCTGCAATCCCAGACCTGCCCCTCCGGGCTGCACGCCCCCCCCCCGGCCCATTGTGCGTTCGAATTTCGGTCCAGTGGCAAAAGAGGGGGGCGCACCCGGGCTCGGTGGCTTCGCACCCGCCCCCGCGCCCCCCCCCCCCCCTGGCAGGGGCCCCCCTGCCCTGCGGCAACACCCGAGGGACCCGCCCGGGCCCAAGACGAAGAGGACCCTCTGATGTGTGGGGCTGCCGGAAGGAATTGCACGGCGCAGCATGGCTAGCTCCACCCACGCGCCTTCATCGACTCGTCCCCCTCAATCAGCGGCCGGCAACAGGCCAGGGAAGACGCGGGCGGCTTCCGGCGAACGCCTGTTCGTCGGCCTCCATGCGACCAGGGTCGAACAGGGCTGCCCGGCCCCGGCGAAAGAGCTCGGCCGTTCGCTTGGTCCGCGAGGAAGCTCGCGCCGGCCGGCTGTTTCAGGACCGGCGCCCGCCGAATCCGAATGCGGAGGTGCCCGGCCGCCCGCGGGAAAAGGCCGCCTCCCTTTGCGGAGGTCGTTATGGCCCCGGCGCCCGGCAGCCGCCCCTGTCACTCGTCCGTGGCCCCTCCGCCGACGTTTGCATCCCCCCCCCCCCCGCGCCGACCATAAGAGGAGCGCCTTTCCAACAAGGGCTAAAAGCGCCTCTCCAGGGGCGCTCTCCCGGGCGCCACTAAGTACCAAGCCGGCCTCCCCGATGGGCACACAGGCGTTTCTTTATCTCTCTCTCTCTCTCTCTCTCTCTCGGTGTATCGCCCAGAAGCCCAGCCCCAAGGGCAAGTCGCCCACGCATGTCATCGCGCCCGGGGCAGCGAGGGGTCAACGTCTGGGCAGCGCCACATGCCCCCGGGGCATGCTGCCTCCGATTCTTCACCCCTCGCGCTGGCCTTGCCCGCCGGGCCGCCCGCCTTCCTTTTCTCGCTGCGCGCACCCATGCGCACATACGAGATGTGGGCAGCGGGAGCGGGGGCATGTGGCAGGCCAGACCCGAGCTACCCCGGGTGCTTCATCGCCCCTCCCTCCCGACGGTCTCCAGGCAGCTTTTCCTCAGGCCGCTCGAGCAGGTGCACCAGCCGCCACGGGGGGGACGGGATAATCCGGGGCCAGCTGCCGGACTCCCCCCCCCCCCCCCTCAAGGGCGTCTCGAAGGGCGAGCGCCGGGGCCGACTCGGCCAGCGTGAAACGGCACAAGATTGTGGGCGAATATATTCATGAAGGGTACACATGATATGCATGTGACATGGATCCGCGAGCTACGTTGGCAGTCACGGACCAGGTGCCGCCTTTCATCCGGGGCGGCGGCTGCCAGCGGAGCCGATGGCCGGCGACCGGACATCCAGCGACTCGGAGCGGGCGTGCATGGTGAAGGGATTCCCCGGGGCGTCGCAGCAGTCCGCCAGGAACCGACTCTCCAGATCGGACCCCTGGAAAAGCCAGTGCTGCGAGTGGATGGCCAGGATCTCGGATTGTTTCTGCGCCAGCGCCGGTCCACCAGGGGGGAGGGCGAGGTGTGAGTATCCGCGCGGCAAGCAGGCAGCATATGCCGCCCGGGTGTCGGGCCACAACAAGCACAAGAGCACGCACCTGAAGCGCCTTGGCGGGGTCTGCCGCGTCGGGCGTCCCGGCCGACAGCATGGCCGCGCCGGGGTTGATCATGGCCGCCGAGGCACTGGCCGCCGCCTCGGGCGAGACGGCCAGCCCTGTGGCAGTCCCGGGGGAGGGGAGGAGGACGGGGCAGAGGCACGTTCGGGTCGGAGGGGGCGGCGGGCGAAAGGCCATGTGTGGCATCGGCGGAGGATGCCGATGGGGGAATGCGAGCGTGGGTGTGTATGAGCATCGGCAGCGGCATGTGGGTGGGAACCGCGACGGGGAGGGGCGGACCACACGCGGGCCGGTGAGCAGGCAAACGCACCGAGGGTATCGACACACAGGTCGAAGACTCCGCGAAGGCCAAAGAGGCACAGGAAGAACAGAGACAGCGAGCTGACCCAGGCCGGGGCCAGGTCAAGAACATCAATGCCAGACTGCAGCATGAGCTTCAGACGGAAGACCGGCGGCATGAGCGGAACGCGCACTGCACCCGGACAGCAGCGCCCGCCAGGCACGGGCGAGGAAGGAGGAGGAGGAGGAGGAGGTGAGCGGGAGGCGGCCCGAGGCCCGATGGCAGCGCACACCGGCGCCATGTCCGAACGCACTGACGACAAACCCACGGAAGGTGGTGTTGACCCAGAGCATGAGAATGCTATTGGGAACGAGGGCCAGCATATTCCGCTGGACGCCGGACATCATGTCTTGCAGCTTGGCCGGGTCCGTCTGGCCCCGGTGGAAAGGGGGTCAGCCACGGGGAGGGCGGAGAGTGAGGGCCGAGGAGGGAGAGGAAGAAATCAAAGAAGGAGGCCAGGAGTGGAAGGCCCTCGGGTGCGCACCATGCCTGGCAGGGAGGAGCTGCTCGGCATCGAGGAGCCAGCCTGGAGGAATGTCCCCCCGTTGAGGGCATCCAGCAGGCGTTCCCTCGTGGCGGCATAGTGCGCCGGGGCCACGAGCCGCGAGTTGCGCAGGAACTTCTGCGTGAACACCAAGGCCTCGCTGCACGGCACCGGCGGGAGGCCACATCCGAAGGGGGCGCAGGTGGGAGCACATGCCGGCGAGCGGCCCGAAGCGTCAGGCACAGGTGGGCACTGCTGGCCTCACTGATTGAAGGGGAAATGGGGGG